AACTCAATTATGTTTTGTACTTGCTCCTGGTTACTCGAATTGCATTTCATGAACGCAGAATAATTTGCGAACGCATAAATCACCGATTTCAAACTTTTTGCATTTCGTAAATATTGATAGTGACCAATCTGTTTGTATTTCAAAAAATTGTAACATGTTCCAATTAAATTAAATTAAAAAGAGAATAGTAAATAACTTAGTGTGTATTGCAGTTCATGTCATAAATGCGAGAATGCTGTATGTAAATGATATGCAAATTAATATGCAAATTAATTAGGCCGCCCACCAGCTAATTTGGATTGTGGAGAACACTGGACCTTAACCAGGGAAATGTCTTTTTCCACGATTCATCAAAACCAGCCTCACACCGTTTCCGTGTTTCTACACGCTTCAGTTTCTGTGCTGTGCTAGCGGTGATTGTACGTTTTAGCCGGGCGGCATCACCTATTTTTCCTTTACATGTTTAGTCGTATAGATCTCGGTGTTTGCAACTTGAGTGACAATTTGTTCCCCATTGACAGCGTCTGTACTTCACACGTGTTTAACAATGGGACTGTTTAATTTGTCCCGGCAAGTTCAAACCGCCGTGGCGTAGACGGTGATAATTTATGCAGCGCTATGTGTGAGCGGGTCAAACGGATGTAAACAATGCATCCTATTAGCATGGCGGTGAAGTTGTAAGCATGGCGGTCCGAGCCCAAGCGTGGCTGCCGGGTCGCCAAGCATGGCGGTACCGCCATGCTTTGTTCTATGTGGGGAGAACACTGGCTAGCATTAGATTTATATTCCAAAGACGCATATATTTGTAGCACCATTCGTAAAAATAGTAAATGGCTGCCAGGGGAAATAAAGAATTCTGTGAAAATGAAACAGGGTGACTATATTGTACGTCAGAGTCAGAAAGTTGTTGCTTGTACCTGGTATGATAAACGTGAAGTTCGAATGCTAACAACAAATTGTTCACCAGGTGGGAGAGATGTCACCAGGGGTGGGAAAACATTTTTTACTCCTTTTTCTGTTTTGCAATATAATCAGTACATTGGTGGTGTGGATCTGAGTGACCAGTTGGCATCTTACTATTCCATTAGTAAAAAGTATATGAAATATTGGAAGTATCTTTTTTTCTTCTTTATCCAACAAATGATTGTTAATTCTTTTATTTTATATTCAATTGCTCACTCCCCTAATCCAAGAAGAAGGTATAGGCAACTAGATTTTCATTTTGATTTATCAAGTCAACTCATTGCTGGGTACTGTAGTCGTAAAAAACGTGGGCCACAACCACAGTCACTTGGTGTTGAAAATAGCTTGAGTTACGCCAACCTCCCTACTCATAAGTGTGAAATGATGCAACCAAATTCCAAGCGAAAGAAACGTTCTTGTAAATATTGTTCTAGAATTGGTAAGAAAACTCCTAAGGATTATTCTGTGGAGACTTCATTTGGGTGCAAGTTTTGTAATGTATTTCTGTGTAAAGATGACTGCTTTATCAGGTACCATGCCTGTATGCTACAGCATTGAGTAATATTTTTTTATAATAAATTAGAAACCAAGTGAATTGTAAATAAAATGTGTTTTTTTTTAGTGTCCTAGTCTTCTTTTCCCTGTGTACATGTCAACCTACCTGGCTCACACTGAATTGGTAAAGAAGTTTTGGGTAATGGGAGTACAAATATGCAAATTAGTAATGGGCCCTGCAACATTGTTGCAACAAAGTATCTATGGTGTGCAAAGATGTCATTAGAAAATAAACAATATGTATAGTATCAAAGCAATCGGACTTACAGTTTTTAACAAAAAGTCGAAAATATCACTTTCCACCAAAAATATTCACCAAAATTAGAGAATTGAAGATATCATCACGAAATGAACAAATCTGAGAAAGGTCTACATGTAGTATCTATATATGTAATATCAAAGCAATTGAATTTTTGTTTTTTTAACAAGAAGTCGAAAATTTCACTTTTTACCAAAAATTACAAAAATATTCACCAAAATTAGAGGAATTGAGGATATCATCACAAAATGAACAAATCTGAGAGAGGTCCACATGTAGTACCTATCCTCGGGAGCGGAGCTACGTCACAAGACGTTCCATGTTGCTACGACGCGCACCACTGTACATGCATTTCTATGGGCTCTGTGCGCGCTGCTGTGGAACGCCGGTCGAGCCGGTGAAAATAAGAGAAAACAACACAAACTCAACTTTGAAGTAATCCCGAACAGCCAAATTTATATATGTTACACATGTAGGGCTAATCTTGTTACACTGTTCAGAAGAGTCTCAACAATCATCCCAAAGTACTGTTTTCTGCGAGTTTTGGGCCTTTGTTTTCACTGCTGCAGGTTGCCACGGTGAAAATGCCCGGATGTCCGCCCCCGAGGATATATGTAATATCAAAGCAATCGGACTTACAGTTTTTAACAAGAAGTCGAAAATATCACTTTTTACCAAAAATGACAAAAATATTCACCAAAATTAGAGAATTGAAGATATCATTACAAAATGAACAAATCTGAGAGAGGTCCACATGTAGTACCTATATATGTAATATCAAAGCAATTGCACTTGCGGGTTTTAACAAGAAGTCGAAAATATCACTTTTTACCAAAAATGACAAAAATATTCACCAAAATTAGAGAATTGAAGATATCAACATGAAATGAACAAACCTAAGAGAGGTCTACCCAAGGTACATATACACCAAGTATCAAAGCATTCAGGCTTGTAGTTTTCAAGAAGAAGTCGAAAAAGTAAAACATTGACAAGGACGACGACGACGGACAATCACTCACATGATAAGCTCCGCTCGACAAAGTCAACAGCGGAGCTAAAAAAAAGTTAAATTTGTTTAGTTTTTAAAATGAATTTTTCTGGAAGTTTACAATAAGTAGAATGTCCTGGTGTCATTACACTCATTCAATTTTCAAAGGCAAACGTTTTATATTGATACAGACATATTTTACAGCTACAAGATTGATATACATGTACCAATCATGGAACTATAAACCACCAATCAAGCCCCAAAATCATCAGACTAGTTGAATTATATAAACATCCTGTTCTTAGAATTAAGTAACGTTCAGAACAACTATTGAACTAAGATAAAAAACTGTGACTAACGTTTGAGAAATCGTACATCCGTATTCAATCTGCACGTTGTTATAGTAAAACGAAAGGCATAAACTGTTTATACCAAAACAGAACTCAGAACAATTCTTCGGGTGAAGTTGAGAATTTAACACTGACGCTTCGTGACAACCTTACTATTGTTTGAAACGCTTATTTACTCATTCCCCGCCATTTTTCAATTTGGATATTGCCGTTATTCCCACAAACAAACAAACACAAATTAAAGCATATAAAATCTCTTTGGTGTAACAAAACTGTGGAATTTGAAGTATATAGAATTTAGGGCGTAGTGCTTGGTGGGTTTTTCACTGCTACTACGCAGCATTTGGGGGAATTGAGGAATATTTTCAACTACCCAGTCAGCTGTTATCACATGCGTCACAGCCCAATGGGGCATCACCAGTTGTTTTCGGGGAAATACCGCTGGCGTCTGATTGACTTACCTCCTGATCACGGCCTTTGTGCTTAAAACTTTTCAATCTAGTGGCATTGATATTACTTGCACCTTCTTCAACCGACATCTTGGGAGTGATATCCATCGAAAACGCTGAGAAAATCAAGAGAAAATTCGACCGAACAATTTTTAACACTCACTTCAAAATGCCGGCCAGACTGTGACGTCACGATCGTGGGGTACACTCTTTGAACAACGTTAATTCTGATTGGTTGTGAGAAGGGGCTATTCTTGACAATTTGTTTACCTAAAATATATACATTTGTTAGTCTAACGGCGTATACCGCCCCAAGCTCAATTTAAACATGCATGGACCATTGAATAGGTCTGGAAGCATTCTTGATAGTAATTCACAAAAATAACCACAAAGTCCTGACACCATCACATGATTAGCCAATGACGAAGCACGTTTCGTAATTTTGATTTTGTCAAGTACTTAGTATTATGGGATACAGAGGTTCCCTGTGTTCTCATTGCGACTTTCACACCACCGAATTCCTTGCATATTTAACATGGTGCATAGTATTTTGCAACTTTCATGAAATGTAAAATGAATAAAATATTTTATAAAAAAGAGGAATTAAATTGATTGCGCTTATTTTTGTCTATGTTAGATATATATGAATTATTATTATGAAGAATGTACTGCTTACAATGGCCAAGTGAATTAAGACTTTATCAAAAATGGCGGTCGAAACAGAAGGGGAATCCGTTGTAAACAACGCTGCATCGATCATATGCTGTGTTTTCTTGGGCGTACCTATCGTTGCATCATGTGTTTTATCTCAGGTCGTTGGAAAAAAACTTCCCAGACTGGACAAATTGTTTATTACATTTGTGGCATTCGACGTACTATTTCACTCCACTTTTGTAAGTTCACGCATCTTTCACTTTTACACGCCTTGGCATTTGTGTGTGAGGTAGACACAATACAACATATTTTGAATGATTCCTTTGTTTACTGGTACGTGCCTCGGTCTTAAAACGAAAGGCAAACTGTCAAATGAATCAGACCAGCATCACCCAATTTTGCAGTTTCTTAAATTATTATGCTCGTATTCACAGTACAGTAACTTGAGACTGAGGGCTTAGAAAATCAAAATAATTTTTGTATAATACACACTTGTGAAAATGTCTATGTTCGGCTTCAAAGAAATTTAAAAAAAAAAAATGTTTAGGGTGGTTATGCAGTGGTTTGTTGCGTCACTAATTTAAATTAAAACAGAGGGGTTGATACCTTTGCATGTTAAAAAATGCAAAGGCACATGGGTAGATGTCATCTGCTGCATGCACAGGTGACAATTCCCCCTACTTTAATAGTATCTGGCAAATACTTGTACTGATCACAGTCCCTAGTGATAGAGGGACTGTGTACTGATCTAGCTTTCGTACTGTTAAAGTCCTAATATAAACCGCATACGTAATAGTAACCGCACCCCCAATTCCGGCTTCAGGGTTAAAGAGTTCTTAACAAAAATTGAAAAGTACCTATTACTAACCGCACCCCCAATTCAACAAGACCGTGACTGACTTCATTGTTTCAACCAGCTGTTCCAAAACAGCATTGTTCCTAATCCTATTCATTTGTTTTGACAACATGCCTAAAAATATTCACACCTATTTATTGTTCAGTGGTGATAAGATGTCAGACAGGCAATGAAACTGCTTTTGTTCTGGCGGCGACCTCTGTCAATACTCTTTCTGAATACGTCTGTGTTTCGTAAGGTTTAGACAATGAGCTTTTATCACCGTAAAAGTGTTAAACTGAGCATTGAAGAATAATTTATCTTTCGAAAACAAATAATTTCTTGATTTAAAAAAAAAAATCATGCCGTTTTCCCATGGAAATCAAAGGCAAAAGATCGCACTACATTATCGGTAAATCTCTTCCGTGTTGCGTTCACCATGAGGTCGCTGAACTGTCATTAATATATTTAAATGAGCTACATGTATGTATGTATGTAATTTAGACACGTGGGCACCATCCAGCATTTTGATTGGTTAATTAGCGACTTGACCTATCCGGTCAATAATACGCCATGTGAGCATTCAAAAACATGGCGGTTATCGTATCGGCTGTTTACATGTGACTGAAATCATTTGCTTACGGGGAAACTAAGTTGAATTTTACTTGCATTTTATAACAATTCAACGAATTTATTTTTCATGCGTTATTGTAATCACTACTAAATAATAATCACCAATATCAACACTTCGAAAACAAGTAAGTTATTCACTTGTGACCCGCAGCATGGCCGGATCGAGCTGATCATTTGCTACTAAGCAGTGCATTCGTGTTTTTATTTAAAACTTCTGTTAGAATATACTTTTCGTTACCAAGAAAATAAAAAAAAAATTTTTGTGTCATGTGGAATTTTTTTTGGATTGACTGTAATTTTTCAACATTTCGTAACGCCTATTTTAGAATCGAAATAAGGCCTTTCACCTCTACGCCTTTTCAAGAGATTGTACGGTGTATTGTTTGTTTTGTGCATGTGTTGTGGAAAAAAAATGACCACGCCCATTTAGTGATTGCAATATGTACGTAATAGAAACTGCACCCCGAACTTGAGCTTTTGATCCCAATTTTTAAATTGATACATTGTAATATAAACCGCGGTTTATAATAGGACTTTAACGGTACAAGCATTTGTAAAATGTGATGGTCAGCTGATCGCGTCCTGGTCACAAATGCATGAAATTCTGGCACTGATATTTCTGAAACCTGTTGAAAATGTTGTTATGTTGTCAGTTTTTGATTGGCAATGCCCCCTCCTCAATGCCCTTGGATATTTTATTTTTACATTTTAAGGCAAGAAATGGAGTGTTATTTATATATTTCACTACAGTTAACGCTGACATGATTAAAAAGCAGTGTTCTCCCTAACCGGGCGATTTTTTGGGAGTTGTTAAAGTTTTTTTAAAAAAAATATTTTGGCATAATTTTTCGGACATTTCAATCTTTCCTGACGCCTAAAATAGTCTATTAAGTTTTTATTCAAAAGTACTGTAGAAGTAGAAATTATTCGCATGGTTTTAATTTTGCGAATTACGTGAGGAGCCCATAGGCGCGAAATCATCTGCTTCGCGTTGGAATGTAAAACATGATACCCAAGTCAAAAAAACACCCACTCCTGATCTTACCCACGATGTTACAACTTCACCATAGTCATTGAAACCATGGAACTATAATTATAGTTCCATGTTGAAACCTAAGAGTCAATGTTTTTTTGACTCCCATGTGCGAATCACATAATGGGAGTCTTTGCAGTTAGTGTGTCAGTGTGTGTGTGTGTGTGTGTGTATGTGTGTCCGACTGTTCCACTGCTATCTCAAGAACCATACATCGGTTTTTGATGAAACTTGGTGCATAGATGCTCTGGGCCAATGCGCAGATTTGATTAGGTTTTGGTAAAAATCCATGCTCGTTAATTACCTAATTTGCATGATAATTAGCGGATTTTTAGCTGTTCTATGACTGTTCCACTGATATCTAAAGAACCACTCATTGGATTTTGATGAAACTTGGTACATAGATGCTCTGAACATATGCGCAGATTTGATTAGTTTTTGGTAAAAATCTGTGCATATTAATTACCTAATTTGCATGATAATTAGCTGATTTTTAGCTGTTCCATGATTGTTCCACTGATATCTAAACAACCACTCATTGGATTTTGATGAAACTTTGTACATACAATGTACATGCTCTGAACTAATGCTAGGTTTTGATTAGTTTTTGGTAATAATCCGTGGATACTAATTACCTAATTTGCATAATGATTAGTCAATTTTCGGTTTTTCCACTGATATCTCACAGTGTTCTCCACGAGGGGTTTTAGCAGGGCGCAGCGCCCTGCATAGGAAGTCGTGCGCCCTGCATAGGTAGTCGTGCGCCCTGCATGGTCAACAAGCGCCCTGCATTCACATTTCCCGCCCCGATCAAATACATTGTATTGTTATTGTTATTGTTAGTATTCAGTGTTCTCCACGAGGGGTTTAAGGGGGCGAAGCACCCCTCTTTAATTTATTTGCGCCCCTCTTCAATTTGTAGCGCCCTTCTTTTTATCTTCAGCACCCTCCTTTGTTTTCGGTGACAGTGGTTTCACATTCCCGGAAGATGTCCCGACGACGTTATTGAGAGACCTCTTATTAATTGACAGGCGATAAAACAAAGAACTAAGAGACAGATAGTGGCATAGGTGACAACTAGGACAATGGATTTGATGTCTGGGGAAAAACTGGCTGAATAAATAAACTAAAAACAATGAATGGATGCGTGAAGTGATTGTCACAAGCATTGCGTTAATCATGCAATGGGATAGTCAAAACAAGTTTTCTCATGCCTTTTATTGGCGAAAAGTAAAAAGAATCATCAAATAAATCACCAAAACAAAACGTACGGTAAACACTGAAACAACATGGATGTCACGGTATCCGATTTGACCTTTGTCCTCAGTACCACAATGCAATCAACATAATGATTAATTTATTTACAGTCATCGGATTCGATTTTTTCTTTTCTTTTAAATGGTAATTTTGTTATGTGAAAATATTTT